CTTGGAAAAATAACGCAGTATTGGTCTAGCTAAGGAATACACAACATACTGTTAGGATCAGTATTGCCTGGTGATAACAATGCACTGTAGTGGTCCAATCAGATGAAAGACACACACACAGACAGAGAGACACACACAACGAAGAGAAAGACTTGTGAAAAGTGCAGTATTCAAATTGGTATGCAAGACATTCAGTATGTGTCCAGGTGTGGCTGTAAAAACAATAACGTCTACCTTGTCCGCCTAGCTCTGAACAAAAAGCATTCCTTGACAAAACCCGCTGATAAACTATAATTATTTCCCTTTATATCCCCATAATACACCAAGATAAAGTGATGTCAGGCAGCTTATAAAAACACCTGACTTCCCTGTAAACGGACTGGTGGTGAATGGGGGGGCGTGCACGCTCAGGTGGTTCTTCAATGAACAATGCACTGCCTGCACTAACACTACAGAGTAAACATTACCCATTTCCTTCAATTCCTGCCGGAGTGTATTCTTTTGTGGGAGCATGAAATGGAGATACTAAGAGAGGGACCGAACGCTTTGGCCTTGAAGAGCTGAAGAGGGAGTGTTTCGCTTTAAACGGGACCTTATCTTTGGGCGTGGGACTCTTGTGCTCCAAAAAAACCTCTTTCCAAGGAGTGGAGAGTGACAAATGTTTCAGCATTCATAGCACAAGCAGTGTGTTGCTAATGTTAATTCACTTTGTTTACATGTCATGGTAACTTCTGAATTCATCAACAAAGGTCAGCTGATATTTGTGAATACAAATGCTGTCATCCGGCTGAAAAACAGACAAGCCAACAAAGTCCTTGCCAAAGGGTACAAATGTAATGTTTCTCAAAATCTATGTGTGTTTTTTTATTTATTTTTGTTGATTTGCTATTTTATTTTGCACATTACAAATAAAATATTGCATATATTTTGTGTGCCACTCTTCTTTACATGGGTATTTGGCTTTGAATAATGACAATCTGAAGGGATCAAGGCGACTAAATAAATATATGCTCATCAACTTGTATAAAGCACAATACTCTACTTTTAGGGCTACGGGACAAGATTGGGGGGGGGGGGGGAACACAACAAAGGACTCAGCAGTCGATGTCTGAGACAGCGGACTCACATCTCTGAATCGCTGTCTAGGAATGCAGAGCGCAGCCGTGCAGTTATCTATAGGCCTCAATAAAACGCCAGGTTTAGTGGAACAAAAGTGACGTCAGCTTGTAAGAATCTTACACAAGGTGGAGGTCCACGGAGGGGAGAGGGGCAGCATGTGGACAATAGGAACACCACAGGAGGGATCACACTGACTTTGCTTTAACATTTGCTTAACAAGTTCAGAGATTAAGGTTCATAATAATCAGTTTGCACACACTACTTTAAACCAGATGTGCATTTCTGTAGTTGGCGTTAAACTGTGGAATTCTTTACAAATGATTTAAGGGGCTGTATGAACATCTTCAGGTTTAAGAAAATGTATAAAGAAAGATTAATATGAAGTTGTTGCTTTCATGTTACTATAAGTATTTGTAAGCAGCTTTGACTGACAGACCATTTCTTTTAGAATAAGGGGCAGGTCAAATAAGTCTGTCTTCTGCCGGCACCTTTCCATCATGGGATACAAACAAACTGCTTAAAGTGTCCATGTCTTGTTTTATAATAATTGCCATGAGTGGAATACAACTATAATAATAATAATAATTATTGTGAGTGGGGTTTAAATACAGCAGTGTGGACAAAGCTCCGAGGGAGAAGCTGCAGCTCATTTAGAGGACTGTCTGGCTTCCTACACGTACGCAACAATATCTAATATCACGTTTTTAAAGAGTGTAACTGAAAACACGTCAGACAAAGATGCTGCAATAGGAAAGGATGCCAACAAATGTGGGGGAGCTCAGAAGAACAAAGGAAGAGATGGAGAGGATCAATGCTCAGTAACACAGCTGTGTTAGGAGAAGCTGTAGGTTATGTAAGGTCAATGTGCTGCTGGAGTGGACACCGGCTCAAAAACGTGAAGAAAGCTATTTGAGATGTGAGGAACCGACAACACAGTCAGCAGCATTACATTGAATCTATTCTTAGGACTCTTTGGACCTGCCAGCTGTCCTCCAGAGCCAGATTCCACTCGTAAAAAACTGAGGATGTTTGGATATACTGTCAGTATGTGACTTGTGCTGCAATCTGCAACATTCACAAAACCCACCGATTCATCATCTGTTTTAAAATGATATTAATTAGACAAAGTGACTATTGAGCTATTGTCAATAACCTTTTCAAAAGCAAAACAAATGTTTGATCTGAAGTGTCATCAGTTTTGCACAATCTTATCTCACATTATAACAATCGAGTGTTACCGTTTATCCAAGGGGAAAACCCCAATGAATTACACATCCTGCTGGCATGTGCAGAATGTGTCGGCAACGAGCCACAGGTTCACTGCCCCACACAGATACCTCACTGTGGGGCAGTGACCTGTGAAACCAGAAAGCTACAATGTGGCAATCATTAAACCTCAGAGCAGAGAGTGGGCAAAGTCCTCCGGGATAGTAGGACCATTCCTCTGACCAAGCTGCATCGTCCCCATGCAGAGGCTTACCAGCTGTGACAGCAGCAATGAACATGGCTCACTTTGTGCACAGAGGCACACAAAAACAATGGTGAATTGTTAGAGAGAAAAACAGATCTAGGAGGCCCATGTTGAGGCTACTAGTCAGAAGGTTCTGGGATTATCCACAAGGCCCTTTGTAAGGTAACCCAAACAGAGCAGCCAGCATGTTGACCAACAGAAAGACAACAGTTGTTTCTGTGTCAATGCAAACTGTTCCCACTCCTCTTTCAGAGAAAACAAAGCATTCATTTATCAGAGCAACTCAACTATGCTCATTTCAGAACTGAGTACTTTCAGGCATGTTTAAAATCATAATTGGGAACACTTACTGAAAGCAGGCGTTGTGCCAGGTGTCCAGGAGGACTTTCATTTGAAACGAGTCTTGGATTTCTCCTCCACATCCCGCACAGTTACAGCTCTTAGTACCTGTAAGAAATGGAAAGGTATTCAATGGAGCAGCATTGTATGCTTCAAATTCTGGTAGTAGGTATAACTGTGTATGTGGAACAGGCAGTGGTGTAAAGTAACTAAAGTACATTTACAATTTTGAGATACTTGTACTTCATATTTAATCAACACTTAAATAAGATGTTAGTTACACCTGGAGCAAATTCACAAGCTACCCTGCAGCATACAAAGGAATTACAATGAGCCACACCGTTACCAGCTTTAATAAGCACATTAATGCATCAATAATTATAATATTTGTTATGCTGTGTATGCAATTTATTATATGTAATGTCTCGTCTTTTATCTGGACCCTGAGTCTGTAATAAAGTTTTGATTGATTGATTGATTGATTGATTGATTGAATCAAAACATATAATTTATTATTCTTTTGGTAATTTAACTATATTTTGATGCTAATACTTTTCCATTAGTAACATTTTGAATGTACTTGTAACAGAGTATTCCTACACTCTGGTACTTCTACTTGTATTGGAATCCAATATCTGAGCACTTCTCCCACCTCTGAAAACAGGTATGCTTGATGTAACATTGAAATGCACAAAATGAAACATAGTATCAAATCGCCGTGTAACACGGCGATGTTATACAAATAAAATAATGTAACCTCTCGTCTTTATAGGTTTTAAGTTACAGCTTGAGATATTCCTCACCTTCTGGTTGCTCCATCTACTTTCTCAGAGTGTCGTCGTTATTGAAATCCTTCACAAGCTGTTCATACTGCGAGCTGCGATGCGCCGCTTCAATGTTTGATTCCTCCGCGTCGTTCACCCAGCAGGACTGTGCGACTGTGGATACCTCAGGAGAAAAGCAAATCCCTTTAATTGTTCACAGGAAGAAAAACAAATCAAGAAACTAAGCACACTCCTCCTGTACGAGGCTGCTTTCTTGTCGCTGGCAGGATAACTGACGTAATGCAGTCTTCACATTCCTGTACGGAGAGCGGAAGGGCTCAAAGCAGCACCTGGAAGCAGGAGAAGAAAACTGAGGTTTGGGACAAAAAACAAACTGAAAGGGAACAACAGTGGCGCCATCTACAGACACAACGACCACACTGCAGCATTGTTCTACCAGACACCGATTTCTACATAACATAACATAACGGAAACTCACATGTAATGCCGGGCAAGGGAGACAAGACATCTTGTCCTAAAATTATATTATTTTCCTTTTACAGAAAAGAACAATTTTATTATTGATTTTGTTTGAAATGTTTATGAATGTTATTGATGTCGTAATTGTACAAAGCATTGGTATACTGTGTGTCATTATGGTCGTGAAAATAAAGCTATTTGAATTGAATTGACGTGTTCAAGATGTAAACTTGTTCAGTCTTGTATAAAGGCATAGCATACAAAAAAAAACAACATAAAATACCATCATTATTTTTTGTTTTAATAACAGACTTTACGTGTCAATTACCTAGTTACAATTGTTGTTTAGTCACTTACTTACTAGCCATTAATCTAAATGCATTTGGGATAATTATTATTATTTGTGCAGCCAAACGTTGTTTTTATTTCTTTTTGTTGTTGTTTGTATTTGGTTTACAAGACAGAACCGACCATTAACTCACTCTTAAATAGATCAAGTTTAAGTCCTATGCTTTATAGGGCCCTACAGAGCATATTCAAACATGTTTTGTTATTTCATGAAAGTCAGAAACCAATGTTGCACATTCTGGCTTAATATGACTTTTTATTATTTTATTTTATGAAAGTATCGTCACTCCCCTCTTTAAAATGAGAATAACAGTAACTGAACTGTGGCCAAAATACTGCCTGGCCACACTAAAGTCACTATTACTTTTTGCAGCAAGGCTTTTATTTTGAAAAGAGGCGTGCCTTAAACCGGTTTACTTAACAGTAGCTAGAGCAACAAGGATGGAAAAATACATATGCACTAACAGTATCACATAAGACAAGTCTGCATGAGGAACAAACGTGGTGGGCTTTACACGTGCATGTTGCCGGTATTTGTGTTTAAGGCTATCCTTATTCTCGCGCATGTTTTAGGCATTCATTGAAAATTACGCCTCATTATTAAATAGCAATACTTAAGAGACCTCATGTTCTGAATAGACCACCATAGGATTTTTACCTAGGGAAACTTGACACCTGGGTTATTTAACGGAAACAATTTGTCTCGATTTTTTGGATGTCCGTCTAGCACAGTCAGTGATTCGCTACTATTTCTCTCATCACTAATTAGCCACGATGGATCTCGGTGCAGAACATTTAAAGATCCCCGGCTCTGATGAGAGAGATGTTGCTCAAAAGCCCTTAGATTTCAAAGTGACTGGCAAGGAGAGTGCAGAGGCGCAGAGACCCACATGGAACAACCGGATGGAGTTCATCCTGGCGTCCGTGGGGTACGCGGTGGGTCTGGGCAACATCTGGAGGTTCCCCTACCTGTGCTACCGGAGCGGCGGAGGTGAGGCTTTCTAATGTTGTAAATAACAACCGGGGGTCTTACAGGGTTAAAGGGTCAAGGGTGACTGATGGTTTCAGATGTATTGCAAATCCTAAAAACAAACGTAGGGGTGGGTGGGTGCAGACTAGAGACACACAACAACACTTTATATAGCACTTTTCATACAACACGTGCAGCTCAAAGTGCTTTACAAAATTACACATCACAAGTTAAAAACAAACAACAAGAAATTCCCCTCAGATTATTTGTTAAAATCTTTAAAAGGTACATGCAGCAAAATATAACATTTTATCTGGTTAATAGACAGGGGCGGACTGGGACTACAAATCAGCCCGGGAGTCTCGACCGGCCCACTTCGGTACCGCCGGCCCACCGCGGTACCGCAAGTAAATACCGCTAGTAAATTGTCGAGGGGGGGGGGGGGGGGGGGGGGGGGGGTGGGGGGGTGGTAATGTCTACTAGCGGTAGACATTAAGGGTAAATAATGTCTACCTCCGGGCCGGTGGAATTGTATTATCACTGGCCCCACCATTGTAACCACTGGCCCGGAGCATTCGTCCAAAAAAAAAAATCGACTAATAATGAAGAAAATTAACACATTTGTTGCAATAGTAATGTATGCACTAACTACATTACTACTTGTACTACAACATTTTAATCATCAGTTCTTCCTCATTTTCCTCAATTGTTCATATTTGGTTTATTAAAATAATGATATTGTGGTCATTGTTAAAAAAATGTCTGCTATTATTATTATTTGTATAATGCACTTTCTGCCTTCCTGTCAGGCTATGTAATTGATTTGATTAGAACCTGAACCTTCATTATCCTAAACTGCTTGGACATTTCGCCAATACCTTTATATTGTCTACTCTTCACTTACTTGTCAGCATAGGTCGGCATTGATGTACAGAGCCGACGGAAGACCTTGTTTATATTGGCATCATATTGAGAGGTGCAGCCAGTGACGCGTCATAAAACCAGGAAGTAAGCTGCTGGTTCCCTCGACAAGGGTTTTGGAAAATAGCTGGAAATAAGGTCTGTGGAAAACAAACCTGTTTGATAAATGCACGTTTTGTTCAGCCGGATAATCTCCACATGTCTACCCTACTTTTATAATTTTCGAATCATAAATCTAATCGATAGATTATAAAAGGGTTTTAGGACGCGTCACTGCACCACTAGAAGCCAACTCCATCGATCAAGCTGGCTGAAACGTTCTCTCCCTCTTCTTCTCATACTCACTCTCCTTTAACTCCTCCCGTGACTTTCTTTTATTTGAAGATTGTTTTTTGCCCGGCGCTTGGCCGGTTACCGCTGGTATTAAAAACATTTGGCGAATGGTTAGGTGGCGCGATAGTCCGTAGTGAAGGAGCGCGCTCCCGCTCACCGGAGCCTGCTCCCGCTGCGCTCAGCAGCAAACAGCTGTTTGCTTTTCACCCAACAACAACGACAACCGACTCACGGAACGCTATGTTGTAGCGTTGATAAACGAAACAATTTAACTAAATTGCTAGTCAAAATACCAATACCACAGGACCATTTTTTTAAAGCAATATTTTTAGTGGCCCGAGCGGGCAAGTGGAAAGTACGTTATGCTGGCCCGGGGTGTCTAAATAGTGCTTCCGGACCAGCGGGCCATTTAATGTCGAGCCCTGCCGGTTACCGGCCGGCCCACATCGTCCGACCGGCCCACTTCAGTACCGGCCCATCGGGATTCGTCCCGAACCTCCCGATGGCCAGTCCGCCCCTGTTAATAGACACAAGGAGGTAAAATGTATTATAATACAAATAAAATAAATAATGGTTTCTCTCTGACAGATAAGACACAAGACAACAGAGTCGATGCAACAATATAACATATACAATATAATATAAAACCCCATAAAACAAAGTGAACATATAGGTACAACAGAAATACAAATAAAAAGATTAAAACCTATAAAATAAATAAAACAATATAAAAGTAGGTAAATAATAAAGACTAAAAGAACATTTAAAGTGGGGGGTTGCTAATAAAAAGCTATGTCATGCACTGAGTTGGCCTCTCTGATGTTTCCTGGTAGCAGGGGTGTCAAACTCAAATACACAGTGGGCCAAAAAATAAATAAATGGGTACTAGTCGAGGGCCGGACTGGTTCAATGTTTATTGCAAAACGTATTGAAATGAACTTATTGCACATATTAAACCTGGAACTAACAAAGCTTAAATGATAGCCTATAATTAAATCCACCAAGGGCCTGATTTGGCCCCCGGCCTTGAGTTTGACACGTGTGGTAGGGTATTCCACAGTTTGGGAGCGTAGTGGATAAAAGCAGCCTCACCCATTTTATTTTGGGGGACTTTAGGGATGAGTTAGCCTACAGATTACATACATACAACTAACACGAACTTACATGAACACATATGGGAAAGTTAGTACAAACTACAAACCATTGTCTTTGCATTCAAATGTAACTAATCATGATGATTTGTGATGTACCAATAATGTCCAAAATGCTCCTGTAAAGATCATGTTATTTATTATTCAGACTAAAAATGTGTATAGCTTTTTGTGTATGTATAAATGTACAGACTCCTCACATCCTGTCATGTAACTCATATGAATCACTCTGCATGTGACTACATGCAGAGTGATTCATATGAGTTACATGACAAGCTCAGTCATTAGGGTTTAAATAAATTAAACAGCATTTTTTAAGCATATCTGTTTATCATTCGTATCCTTTATTGAATTTGTGTTTTAAGTCATTTGTCATCCATTCTGTACAGAAAAACAACTTTGTTTAGAGGGCGGTAGTGATCCCAATAATTTACTGGCCTGGTAACTCGGGTGGCAAGTATGTGTTAGATCTCACATGTACGTTCACACCTTTTGATAAAAAATAGTCCCTGCCTTGTTTTGGACTGTGGGAAATATTTGAACTTATGAAACAGGAATCGTTTACAGAAACATTATAAAGTAAATGTTGTCTCTCATATATTGCAAGCTAGGATGACTCAGCACAATTCATCTCAGCATGTGGCTGTGATTAAACGAGCTTCAGCACTCAGCTTTTATTTTCACTGAATTGATGTGAGCTTTGTAGTTAATCTAAAGGCATGAGTGTAAATCACTTATCCTGCCACTTCCAATTAAGACATACTGTATTAATAATAGTTACTTACATATATGTGTTAGTATTCTACCTGAGGAGAAACAGTTAGGGATGTGTTTTTCATGATTAAATATTTACATCTTTAAAGAATCATTTGTTAAGCAGAAACTTGTCACTCAGTGAATGTTCTTTTTTTAAAAACAGTATTCAATTCAGTGCAGAATGCCACATCTAAACGGCATGTCTTGCATTATGCAAATCGTACATACTTTAAATAGTTTTCCTTTCTTTTGCAGGTGCCTTCTTGTTCCCTTATCTTATCATGGTGTTCTTCTGTGGCCTTCCTCTGCTCTTCATGGAGTTTTCTATTGGGCAGTACACTCGATTAGGGCCAGTGCATGCTCTCGCCAGAATCTGCCCCTTGTTGAAAGGTGAGTGACTCTCCAGGCCAAAGGCTCCTTTCATGTGAGGGGATGAACATAAGATGGTTTCCCTTCAGTTTCACATATTTGGGGACAGTTGCAAATAGACTTTGCTATTAAAGTGTGTTCACCAAATACAGATGCATTACATATTTGTTTGTACCCAGTGTTGGACTTTTAAATAAAAGTATCCTCTCTTACCTTCGTAAAACCTCCGTGTACTCAGATAATATCAGCCACTTTTTTTAGGCAAAGTTAGAATACTGTAGCTAGAGGAAGAATAATTGGAAAAACAATTTAAGGGAATGATTGTTAATTGTATTTATTATCTGCATGCATTGAATAGTGATATGTGACCCGCTCTATCGAAATCAGTTGGAAGTCGCAACGGCTCATTTCAAAATAAACGTGGATTTGTGTAAAAAAAATAGTTTTTTGGGGTTCGGGTGTTTTGTTTGATTTTAAATAAACAAAGTCTTGGCTTTCAGAATATTAAACTTGTTTCGTCAAATTCAGATGATAAATACAACTTTGAAAGCTTGTAACGGCATAGTTACAAGCGGAGAACGGAGTAACTTGACGTCACAGCAGGCATAGCAACAGCCGGTGTTTCTCGTTAGTAACACAATACACACAAATGCAAAATTGCACAAACACACACACACGCATACATACACACAAACTCGCAAGCTTCCCCCAGACCAGTAATCCAAACGAAAATATCTTCCCTCCATAGTATTTTGATCATTTGCTAATAATCAATCAGATCGATGGATTCCAGAGAAGACGAAATTGTAAAGGCCTTTTTCTCAAAATGATGACTCGGTGACAGTCATTATATAATGTGACATATTTTTGCTTAATATTTGGAGTACAACAACAATCCAGATATCATTAGAAAGCTAGGACTCTCCTCTTTCCAACAGTGTATACAACTCAAAATGTGTCTTCGGGTCAATGCGACTGATTTCGATGGAGCAGTGAGGTCACATATACGATTTAAGTTGGTATGCAATTTATTTTACTGCAACCTATTGTTAAGCAATCCCTGTTGATCAATTAAGTATTTCAACAAAGAGAAAATAGTTTAACATAGGTGTGTCTGGCAGAGCATACATTACATAAAATGATAATTGACTTCCTGTTCATAGTAGTGGGTGGATTTCTGTTTCGTTATCCTGGGCACACCTGGGTTCTTTCTCATATTCTCACCTGAAGAAAAAAGCTTTAAAGGAAGATCAGGTTACAACCAAACTTAACAGTCGCCAGTAAAAGATTACATTTGATGCTAAGATGGGCTGTTTCAGTAGTTTGATATCAATAACTTCACATAGGAGAGTAGTTTGGAAACTGCAGGTGATAGTTTGTGTCTGTCAATAAGGTCATGTCTTTGGTCTGTAATGTGGGTCCGTTTGTTTGGATATCTCAGAAACAAACCAGATTTCATTTAGGAAAAGTTAGGTCATGTGTCAAGAAGGAAACTTTTAAATAAACGTTTTTATGACATACTTGTATTCTATACTAATGAAAAGTACTTTGCACATATATCCAGTACTCAAGTTGTACAAAAAAATCAGGGGGGATGGTGGATTTTATCATATCGGGACATCATTTGTGCTGATAACCCGCAGAGGGTGGGAGACCAACCAGCATAAAGATAATTATTATACTCCTAAAACAACATGCATGTTATGGATGTTCAGATACTCCTTTCATTGCTCTTGACCAAGGCACCTCAGAATTAGAGTCGGTCCCCGGGCTGCCATGGCACCACTAACATTTAGGGTCAAATGCAGAGGGCAATTAGTGCAAAATCTTTTTTTCACTTTAATTTAAATGGGGGGAGGGAATACAAAAATGTGGTTATAATGGAAGTATATGGTACAAATCTTGTAGGCTAACAGTCCCTCATTTATTATTCAGATGGATCAACTGATTATACTAATAATAAAGTCAAAATAGTTTTTAGAATATTGAATTATAGTGTATTTTTTCAAAAAAGCAGTTACTGGTATACGATCAAAACTGGTATCTAAAGGGTTACATTTGTATCGTAATTAATTAAATCATTATGTAAATTCTTCATGAAAAATGTGAGGAAAAAAATTAGAAAAATATTGATCGTCATCATTTTATTGCAGTTCAAATACAAATATTTTATGTTAACATTCCCAATGTTACTTTTTTTAACAGGGCATTAAGTGCAAATTGAAATTGTTTACAAGATATGAAAATATATTAAAAGATTATACAGATAATACAAAATAGGACCAATGTTGTCAATGGCTGCCGACTCCACTCTCCCCCATCTCATAGAAGTTTCCAAAGATTTTCATAATCATGGTTTTTGGTCTCAATTTTTCTGGCTCTTGCTTTCGGATTGTTAGCTAAGCAATGGCTTTGAAGCCAAGTCTTGACATATACCTCTGGTCTGAACTTGTTCAGTGGAGGGCCAACACACTTGTAACACAGGCTGACATGCTTTTTACCTCTAGGGAGCTTCTACACTCTTAAAACTACTGGGTTAAAAAATAACCCAATCATAACCCAGCTGCTGAGTCACTATAGGACAGAACACAGCTGGGTTGTCTTAACCCATATGCTGGGCTGGATCATTTTAACCCATATGCTGGGCTGGATCATTTTAACCCATGTGCGGGGTTGTTTATTTGACCCAAGCTAGTGATTGAAATTAACTATATCACTGGGTTAAATTAATATAAACCATACATTGGGTTGTTCATTTGACCCAAGCTATTGATTGAAATTAACTATATTGTTGGGCTAAATAGAATATAATAATAGTGTAATGAATTATCTCCAAACACACCGTATATATATATATAAAAATGCATGTATTGATAATTTGAACAGCTTTGGCAAATCGCCAACATTCCATTTCCACTATAAAAGAACAATGCATTTTAGCACAATACAAATTCAATATATTTAACTCTTAAATAAATAAAAACAGTGCTAGGGCCTTGAGAAATATCTGTGTGTATTTTAACCATCACTTATGAGTGAACACAATTTTCAGGAACAGTTCTGCGTATTAATTTAACACATGGACCATAAAGACCCAATACATATAAAAGTATAAAACAACATCTACGAACAGTCCTTCAACTTGAAGCTGAACAGTAACAAATCTGTCAATGCACACAACAGAACACAGATGTAAAGCAGCAGGATGTAAACAGAGGAGAACAGTGTGTGTGCGTGTGATTGTTAAAGTGCAACTTTGTTGGTTGGATTAAACTGCCAAAAGCTTTTTCAGGCTCAACACCCTGGGCTTCAAGTTCCCCTCAACACTTTCTGGGTGAAGTCGAAAGTGTTGGCCAAGTCTTTTGGGTAGCTCAGATGCAGGGCAAAGGTCAGTGCAAAAAGCAGGATGAATGCGTCAGCCAGTGTGGGGAGTTCGATAACTCCGATAACCCTCAATGACAACAGCGATCCTCTCTGGGCAGAAGAGCGTGGTGTCTGTTGACCTGGCACTGATCATGAGAAGTCCGACCGCGATGCCCTCTGTGTCTGGATCATCAGACTGCTCCACCTGATGACAAGAACAGATAAACGTTACCCAAATTGCCTTGCCTCTCTCAGAAATGTGTTTTCTGAAAAATACATCAGTGACATATCACATCAAATAACCGTATGTTTTGTGCATAATGTGGGTTTAAGGAAACGCCTATTAGCATTGCACAACATAATGTTACAGCACTAGAAACGTCAGCCTCCAAAATAACCAATCAGTTGACATAAATGCTTTCAACAAAAATCATGTATAACCTTCATACGGGTAGGATTTATTTTATCACTGTATTAGACTGTTACTATTAGCTAGTTGTACCTAATAAACTGGCAACTGAATATATATTTACAGTATAATCTCTCCCTACTACACATACAAAAAAATATGGGGAACACTAGAGATTATTTTGTATGATGCACTGATGCTGCAGGAAAGAAAGCCCTCTCTTGATTGTGTATTTTATTAAATCACCTGAGCCCATTTTATACACGCTTAATTTCAAATAAATCCTTAAGTAGAAATCATATTCAACACCTCTGAAGTGTTGAAGTAAAGGGAGATTATGTTCAACATGTCCATTGTGTACCTTACAATAATTACAATTCTTATGGCAATATTCAAATCTTGGAACTAGAACCTGAATGGGATGTGAGCAAAACAAGAGATAATGTTTGATTAACAACACCTGAGTGACAGAATCAAGCTTTGATGACACCAGGACAGTTCATACTTTTTCAAACTAAATCTATCATTTATTATAATTTTTTCACTATAAAAATTCAAATAATTGTCTACCTGCGATAGAGCTCCTGAAAGAATGTAACAAGATAAACTATATTTGTGGATGATCTGTCACATACATTCAAAACAGTTATTATGCTGACTTACATGCCACAGCCTCGGAAACGTGGAGTCATCTTCATGCAGATATTCAGGCAGAGCACAGAGGACAGCAGCACGGAGGACATGGACGTCAGCTTGCTCCTTGAGTGTGAGAACATATATTTGTTTTACTTTGGATGCTAAACAGTATAACCACACAACAATTGATATCACAAGAAAGGGCTCTTCCATGACTGAAGAGATTAACATTTTGACAAAGATAATCCACTCTAGTATGAGAATAAAACACCAAGAGGCATAACCGACTCACCTGGAGGTCATAGGAGGCGAATAGCTGATCCAGAAGTTCAGTTTCCTTTCCTTGCCGCCTTCTTCCTGAACAGGCTCTGAAGATGGAGGACATGTCTATCCAACTCCGCATAGAAGTGGTTCTTCAGGTTGAGGTTTGTTATCCTGTGAAACTCTGCCAAAATATAAAATGACTATTTAATTCACAGTACAATGTATATGTGGACTGAAGGGAGCAGAGATAAACAGAAACATAACATGCTAAATCTGAGTAAACATGTCAAAGGGACACAAAATAATTATATAGTTGTAATAAATAAAATATTTTCACCTGTGACTCCAT